AAAGTAAAAAAAAATGTGACGGCCCAAGGTTTTTCAACCCGGTGCGTCAGTGATGAACCGAAAGATGACCCGATAACGGATCCGAATTACGGAAGCAAAAGATGAAACGACATCCCTAGGGACATAACATGTTTCTAGGACACCAAAGAGACCCTCAATGAGATCATGGAACCCAAAGAAAATAAATGCGGAAACAAGATCTCAAAAATGGATAAAAGGAATCCAAGGGTAAAATGGTCATTTCCATCCTAAAAGTGAGTACTACCAAGCACACCGTTGGAAAGACAAAGAAAAATAAATGAATTTAGTCTCAAGAATCACTTGATTCGGAGTCCGGACGGCAAAGATATCAAGTCTTGAAGTCGAAGGAAGAAAAGCCCTAACCCGGTTCGAGCCAAAAACTGACACCCCTCCACTAAAACTGGAATAACTTGAGCTACCAAATGAATCTGAAACTCTAATTGGTACCATTGGAAAGCTTATTTTGATGTGGTCAATTTAGACTCAAGAACGGACCAATTTGGAGTTAAAACGAGAAAGATATGACAATTTGAAGTTGGAGGTGCAGTGCTGAACCAAGACACAAAAACACTCTATGAACAGTACTTCGAGCGCTCAAACTTAGGACTTCGAGCACTCGAACAGTACCTGCCCAAGGTAAAAACTTTCTGCCCAAACTTCGAGCGCTCAAACTCCCATTTAGAGCGCTCGAACTCTTGTAGCTGCACCTGAAATGCAACCTTGAAATGCCATTTTGAGGACTTTCTGAGACCTTTTTGGAAAAAAGTTGTGAAGTAACCCCCCTTAAAATCATGTTTTCTAGTCAACCATGTCAAGACCAACATTTGTTTTTCAAGTGAAATACCAAAAATGCCCTTGAGGTCTCATTTAGCAAAAATATGTAAACGAATGCTACTCTAAGTGTTCATTTCTTCAAGAATGGTGTTGTGTGCCAAAGTGAACATGCACACATATGTAAAATGAGTAAATACACATGTTCCAATAGCTCATGGTCACATAACATGTCATATACAAAATACAACCTTTCAAACCTCGAATTCTCCTCATTTCATAAGACAACTATGGGATTAAACTAGCATACATGTGATATAAATGTACATGGCACTTGGCCTCATGTTATGCTTACAAAATAGACATCTTCAAGTGTTCTTAGATATACATTACACATCAAGGAAGCCATCTTAGCTTCTACAATACCATACATCCATGGTATACAAAATTAACATCCAAAAAGGAAGACATGCTAAACAAGTGCATGTCAATATACAAAAATGCTTCAAATAACTCAAAATCTTCTAAGGATGATAAGCATCCAAGAACATGGTCTCTTTACCTGAAAAATAACCCAAACCACTAGGGTGAGTAATCAAGTTACTCGTAGGAGAAGCATATGCGTATACCCTAAAGTTTCAATATCATTGCAAGATTAATATAGACGGATACAAGGGAGCATTCCACTTAACGTCTATGTTCAAGGTGTTCTAAGGGATCATCTTAAGCTAACTTAAATGTTTATTAGCAACACAATATCAAAATGGATGTACTTAGCAACATCAAACCGCATATAACAAAATTTACAAGTTACAAATAGCATTGATTGTCAACTTGGAAATGAATGCGAAATCAAAAAAAAGTAGAATCCTTGGACACCTAAGCTCGAAATTCTACCGAGACCTCAACGGTTATTCTGGGCATTAACCCGCAGGGAAGACCACCCTAAGTGCGCACTATCTCGATTGAGGAGAACTCATACCTCCCACACTAGAGCCAAACTCTAGCCATGTTACTAGTAACCATGTCCCAAGAGAATCCAAAGTATATATCAAGTTCAAAACTTATATATAGATAACAAGGCATATAAACCACCTTCCACGCACAAGTACTTTGAAACCATACAAACCATGTCTTAGGGTTTTAAGTTTAGAATGACATGATAGATGACAAATTCTTAACATGATATTATGCACAAAACAATATCATTAACTTATCAATTTAAGCATGCCTCAACAATAAGCCATATATACTAAATGTTTGCATTTTAGCAAATAGCTTCTAAAACAACCATGATTATCAATAGTAATACACTAGAATGTAGGATTTCCATCACAATAGTATAGTAATTCAAATCATTAAGAATTCTATACAACTTCAACAATCCTACTCAAGATATATACACAACATACATGCTTGATCAATGAAATCCTAAGTCAATCATAAGGATTTCCTATAGTATGCAATACTACAATTCTAAAAGCATGTATACAATATATATTAAATCCCAAAGGATTTCAAAACACTTAGAAAATAAACATACTACCACCCCTACCTCAATAGAGAATTGTATCTCTATAATCCAAGCAACCAAGCACTAAATGGAAAACAAGCTTAGGGTTAATGAAGAGGAGAATGAGAGGAAACTTTTACTAGTTAAGGTTCTTAGTCTAAGATGAATGGAAGGGCACCAAAATTGAAGAAGAAAGCTATTAACCAAGTTTTTCTCCAATGGTGGCTAGGTTAGAACTTTGAAGAACTAAGGAAAATGAAAAGGATAAGTGAAAAATGGTGAGTGGAAGGGCTAGAGATCCTCCACTCACTATGTGCTCTTACACTACCTCTCACACACACACAATGCAAGACTAGATCATGGCCTTACACTTGTCACTAATCCAATGCCTCTTCCAAGACTTAATCATAAGCTTACACTTGTCAACAATCCAATGGTTACATGTGCACCAATCTAAGGCCAACACATAGATGAATCTCCACCCACCAAATGTCAAAAGATCATGGTGCCAAGTCTCTTCACCTAAATGCCAACAAATGGCTCCATGAGAGTGTGACACTTGTCACACTTTCCAAAAATTACAAAATGGTCCTTTTTCAAAATATCTTCTAAAATAAATTGCAAAAAGGTCCCTCAAATGAAAAATAATAATTTTGCATAATTACACTAAAATCTCAAAAGTTATGTATAATTACACTAAAGGAAGCATTCATGCCCTTTATGAAAAATGAAAGCAACTAGCATGCTTTTCAACAAAAGTGAAAATACCAATGTCATGAAAATCAAGTATCATGAATGCATGCAAAACTGGAATCAAATCCGAACACCCGAAGTGAGGTTAAGCGAAGAAAAACGATAAACGAGTAAAGGACGAAATAAGAAAGAAAAAAAAAATGAAAAAAGAAAATCACTGAAAATGGAAAAAGAGGAAAAAGACCGGGTCATTACAAAAAACATGCAAATGAAGCTACTATATACATTATGATCAACTAATGGACTTAACTAATATAAATAAGGGCGCTTGAATATGCAATATTCGGCGCTTATCAACGTATAATTTGGGATTTACGTTAGCAAACAGTTGGGATTCACCTTACAAAATAGTTGGGACTCACCTTAGGAAAAATTTGGGATGTACCTTTTGAGGAAGTTGGGATATAAATTACAAAACCTTTGGGTTCAAATTAGGAAAATTTTGGGATACACTTTACAAATACTTTGGGATTTACATTAAGAAAATTTTATAATGTACCTTAGGAAAATATTATGACATACTTTACAAAAATATTAGAATGTAGATAAGGAAAAATTTGGGATACTTATTAGGAGAAAGTTGGGATGTAACTTAGGAAAATGTGACCAAATGTTTTCTTAACATTGTAATACTCTAAAACACTCTTTTCCGGCTAGTCATGTACCTTATAAATCCTCTCTTTTTTTATCCTCACAAACAAACATTAAAACCCCTAATAACTGCACAATAAAATAGCGATCAATTCAAATTCAACAATAATTTTCTATTTCTAAGTTTCTTACCAAAAATGTGTTTATATATTCTTAGTAGTTTAATTTTTTTTTTCTGCCCTTTAGTTCTTATGGAAATAAAGACGATTTCCTTCAAAATCAAATCTCAAAATTATGAATCGTACCTTGGTTGGAAATAAGGCGATCTCCTACTTCGATTTGGAAATATACTCTTGCTTAGCTTTGGAAATATACTGCTGCTTCTTTTTGGAAAGAAATCAGAATATGCAATTTTATTGCCACGGACAAAAGCGCTGCTTCTATTTAGAAACAATTTGTATCATCCAAATTTTGGGTTGATTCACTCAACAATCGCTACTTCCGGATTCTATTTGTAAAAAAATAAATTTCTAAAATGAGTTCATTCATATTTTGGGAAAGAAGAAGGCTAGTGGCGGGATTTGATTTCTATTTCAAATGTCGCCTGAAATGAGGGAGGGAAGATGAAGAAGAAATAAGGGAGTGAACAAAAATGGTGTATTCTTCAACAGTATATACATATATATATATATATATATATATATATATACAAAAATTCTAAATTACAAAAATATATTTTTTAACCGAACATGATAAACACTGTTTATTGACTCAAAATAAAGTAAATAGGACACTATAGGCATTGAGGAGATCCTGGTCCGTCTGGAGAGAGCATACAATGAGTGCTTGTAGCCCCTTACTACGGATTATCCTTTGTACGCTCTCTGTGATTGGTTAAAGTTTAAACGTTGGGATTTGTGCAATATATAAATTCCGTGTATCCTTCCTGTGTGCAGTGTTGTGAATTTGGGTTAGATTTGGTGGGGATTAAGTATTCCGTAGGCAAAAAGTTACTTGGCCTCTCTCCCGCACGGGTGGACTAAAAAGCGTAAAAGAGAGTGCTAAGGGACCCGTTCGCAACGGTCCCATTCCTGTCTCTGTATTCCCCACATACATCTATATATATATATATATATGTATACGCGTATTGCTCATTTTCTCTTTAGTTTCGCCTTTCCATCTATGCTCTGATTTCCATAAAACCTCAAACTTATTTAACAAAAAATCAGAAAAAATAAAAATAAATAACAACAGTGATCGTCAGATGCAAATTCTAACCCTTGCATTTGATTCGATTTTTCTTTGATTTTTTCTTGTTCGTTTTTTTGAAGTTTCGATAACCATATACTACTAAAATGGCGACGGCGACTTCGCCACCATCTGGGCAGCAACCTCAGGCGGCGATGGCTGCCGCGGCGACGGTGACACCACCGCAGACGGCGGCTGGAGGGTTTGGCAATGCGTCGCTTTATGTGGGCGATCTGGACTCCACCGTGAATGAAGGACAGCTTTACGATCTGTTCAACCAGGTCGGCCAAGTCGTTTCGGTCAGGGTTTGTAGAGATCAGACCAGAAGAGCCTCGCTCGGATACGCTTACGTCAATTACAGCAACGCTCAAGATGGTTCGCCATTGCCTTGTGTTTTCATTCAATTGTTTAACTATCATTTTCTTTTTTCTTTTTTGTTTTTATGCATTGATTGGTTTTCATTTTTATGTGTAAGTTATAACGATTCTATGGTTTTCACTTTCTCATATATATATATATATATATATACCTATATGTTTGTTGTAATGTAATAGGTTGGTTGATCAGGACTATTCTTTATTTTTCGTGTTCCTCTTTTGGTTTCTTGCATTTTAAGAGTGCTGTGCTTCTTATGTTTTGCTGAGTTATGAAATTTTTTATTTTATTTTATTTTTATTTGGGATGATTACTTACCATGATTATATTTATTGTCGGAAAGTACAGGATATAAAAATTGTTTATTCGAAGTTATGTAAATTTTCTAATTTTTTCTGTATAAAGATTTAATAACTATTTTGTATAATTGTATCTGGATTGCTTTTTTGTTTGTATTTGATTTGATTTTTGACAATCGCTTACAAAAGTAATGAACGTTTGCATTGTTCTGTTCTGCCCTCTATTACAGGGTGCTAGTTGTTTTTAGTAGGTAGGCTTTGGCTTAACTGACTAGACCAGTGTTAAGGTGTCACGTGTCTTTTGACATTTGTGGGTTGTGTAAGAGGTGCATCTTTTGTTGCATGTTACTCTCATTGAATGTTGGTGCTTTCAATTTGTGGCATTAGTCGCAGCACGCATCTGGAAGAGCGATTGCAGTGATTGGGGACTTTATTTTGAGATATGTTAGTGTATATTAATTGTGTTTAATTCATTTTGAAGGTTGATTGTCATTTTTGTAATTGTTGGAACTTAAAACTATCTCTGTTTATATGAAGTGACTAAAAAATACAGTTTGTTATTTGCAGTTACCTAACCCTGTTTTTGATTTCTTAATTTCAGCTACTAATGCCATGGAGCTTTTGAATTTCACACCTATAAATGGGAAACCTATCAGGATAATGTTTTCTCATCGAGATCCTAGTATACGGAAAAGTGGATATGCTAATGTATTCATAAAGAATTTGGACACATCCATTGACAACAAGGCACTGCATGACACTTTTGCTGCCTTCGGGACTGTTCTTTCCTGCAAGGTAGCCATTGATAGCAATGGACAATCAAAGGGGTATGGTTTTGTTCAGTTTGATCAGGAGGAAGCTGCATCTATAGCAATTAAACGGTTAAATGGCATGTTGATAAATGATAAACAAGTTTATGTTGGCCTTTTTGTCCGTCGACAAGAACGGAATCAAGCAAATGGATCGCCAAAGTTTACTAATGTTTATGTCAAAAATTTCTGTGAAACAACTACTGATGAGGACCTTAAGGAAATATTTGGAAAGTATGGGTCCATTACCAGTGCAATTGTTATGAGGGATGCAAATGGGAAGTCCAGATGTTTTGGTTTTGTAAACTTTCATAACCCAGATGCTGCTAATGCTGCGGTTGAGAACTTGAATGGGGCCTCTTTCAATGATGACAAGGTTTTGTATGTTGGAAGGGCTCAAAGGAAATCAGAAAGGGAGGCAGAATTGAAATCAAAATTTGAACAGGAAAGAAACAGTAGATTGGAAAAGTTGCAAGGTGCTAATTTATATCTTAAAAATCTTGATGACACCATAAATGATGACAAACTGAAGGAGTTATTCTCTGAGTTTGGTACTATAACATCTTGCAAGGTATAGTTTTTTTAAAGGATATGCATGACTAGTCCATGTAAAGCATCACTTTATATATATATATACATATTACTAGGTTGCTATTTATCTATATTCTTGCAACAATATTTTCAGGTCATGCTTGATCCACAAGGGGTGAGCAAGGGATCTGGTTTTGTGGCCTTTTCTACACCAGATGAAGCTACAAGAGCAGTAAGTTGGCTCTCTTCCTTTGTTTGAATAACTAAGCAGATCTCATTCTTCTCCCTTTCGAAAAATCAATATATGTTTAACATTATTTATTAAATCTTTGCTCAGTTGACTGAAATGAATGGGAAGATGATTGAACGGAAACCATTGTATGTTGCTGTGGCCCAGCGCAGAGAAGAAAGGAGGGCTCAACTGCAGGTCATTTTCTTCATTGCATCATTTACCATTTATGTACATACGCTTTGGTGTGGTTTATGGACATGAGGTTCAGAATGATTCTGAGAAATTAAATACTGGATTATATAGTTCATGAGTTTCTAGAATTGGTTATAGATGTACGGGAACAAGGTGTCTGGTTGATTCGTGATGAGAATTATGTTTTACTGGATGAACTCAAATATTTTAAGCATGTATAGAATGTGGTCTAGTATAAAGCTCTCTGTGATTGCACTTCTTTTTCTGATTGCAGTCACTGAATTGTTCTCTATGTATGAGGGAGTAGTTTGGGATTCAATAGGTTTTTTACAATTATGAGGTGTAGTCAGAACATAGGATCAAGATAACTCAGATAGAGCGTGCTTTAACTATGACAGACATATTTGTTTCCCTGACTTTGAGAAAAAATGGCATTAACTGGTGTAACAAGTGCCTGAATGCTGGACCTATAGAGTAGAGATGCGCATGAGATCTTCAACCCTTAGTTATGCACCAGTATTTAGTTAAGGCATTGTTGATTGAATTTCCTAAATACAATACCTTTTGAGTATTATTTTTTATTTTTAATCCGATATAGATCTGTAACACACAGATGGAGCTGGTGCATTAACTATGAGACAATCATTGTTTCCTTGACTCTGAAAAAAATTCAGCATTTACTGGTTTAACAAATGCCAGAACTCTGGCCCTGTAGATACACATGAGATCTTCAAGCTTTGGTTCTGCACCAGTATTCAGCTATGGCATTGTTGATTGAATTTCCTTAATAGAATTTTTTTGAGCTTATTTTTTTTTAAATACGCTACGTGCCCCTGTAATCAATTTTCTTTAAACAAATGTTGACGAGGGTGCTGGGAGTAGAGTGGATGCAAATCTAACCATCTCATTATTTGAACAAAATTGTTGTCCTTAGATTGAGCATCTTATCTTACGCCTGTCAACATGAGTTTTTACCACTGTATGAAACAAGGGTTCCTAACAAATCTTATGACAAAAATTGCTTACCCTTGCACATTTTTTTACATGTAACTATAAGAATGCATTTTTTAGACAAATTGATAGACAATTTTTTTAATTTTTTATTTTTTTTATGTCTTTATATGAAACAATTTGTGTTTGAGTTGAAAATTTCTTGTAGGGATAGCCAGTCTCATTCTTTGAAATGGTATACGTAGAGTTTTAGTTTGGAGGTATTGAAGAAAAGAATTATTGGATGTGTCTATTGAAAACTATATTTTTCATAACAATTTTTAGTTGTATTAGGCTTATATACTTTAGGTTTTTCAATTTATATATGTCTACAAATGATGTTTGTGATGGAACTAAGCAATAAATGCAGTAATGCACAAGAGGGATACTAAGATAACTCTTTGACAACCAAAAAGTAGTAGTTGTTTTTAAATGATCTTTTTGTAGACACATATCCATGATAATTAAATAATTGTTAATTATAATTATCACTGTTTATAGGCTTTTGTGTTATTTGAATTTGGGACAGTTAAAACTTCCTCTTTAGTAGTTTTTGTAGTTACAGTTATGAGATGTGGTTACCTTGAAAATTTCTTGTGTTGTTGTGTATGCTCAATTTGCTATAATACTGTCTTTTCTTCTTTTCTTGCTTCAATTTTATATTTCCTATTTTTACTATCTTTTTCGTTGCTTTGTTGGGATAATTACTTTCATCATTCTCTTGGTGTCAAGCATAATTCACCGTTCCTCTTTTTTCATCAGGCGCATTTTGCTCAAATAAGGGCACCTTTGCCCACAGGAATGCATGGATTTCACCATGGGGCACCTAGGCTTGCTCCTCAGCAGCTATATTTTGGCCAAGGTACTGCTGGCCTGCTATCCCCTCAGCCTGCTGGCTATGGCTTCCAGCAGCAACTCTTGCCTGGAATTCGCCCAGGTGCTGCTCCGAACTTTGTTATGCCGTACCAACTTCAGAGGCAAGGACAACCTGGGCATCGGGTGGGTGCAAGAAGAGGTGGAAATGCTCAGCAGATGCAGCAACAACAGGTGCATTCTTTTTGTCAATTGCTGTAAGGAAATATTTTTATTTTATTGGTTTCCTACTTTCTTCCCATCTCACCTTTGTTTAGCATTTGATATTGGTGTACTATAGGGATATATTATATATATATTTAAGGGTGAGATGATGATTGATGTTCTTATTGGAATAAAAAAGAAAATGTTATCAAATCGGGGTTCACTATATGATCACTTCTTTATTTGACAGTAAATTGATAGCAGGAAACGGCTTTACTAGAAGCCTCAGTTTACTGATGTTTGTCTTGAATTATTTAATGATGAATATTCCATTTCAATACTTTGCTTTGGTATGGCTTCTCTAAAGAATCTATTTTTTCATAATTCCACCCACCCATAAATCCCACTTCTTTGGCTATGTAATCAGTACCAAGGAGATAAGGCTCTTTGGGAGTTTTGATGTGTTATGTTTTGCCATGTATCCTGCTCAATCATCAACAACCTTGCCTTTATCTGATACAAATGGGGTTGAATTCATCATAGTGTCTGAAAACCAATTGGTTTACCACAATTTTTATACACATTTTTTTCTTTTATTTGGTAAATTCGTATTACAGTACCTTTCTCAATTTATTAAGCACTTTTCCTTTTTTTACTTTTATTGAATAAATTTGGTAGCCATTGAGCTCCTACTTTGCCTAAATTTCTTCAAACCTCTATTGGTATATAATCAGGTCTTACCGCGTTATTATTACCCATCTTTTTAAGTGCATCCTCTGTTTTATGTTAATTTCATTAGTCCTAATATCTTTTCTAGAATATTTCCCCTTCAATGGTTGTTTGACAATATTCTTTCCACCTATTTAACATGTGTGTCTCTTTAACTAACCTTATCCTTAATGTATCTAATTTGATCAATATATCTCTTCTTTTTCTAAACTTATAAATATCTTTTTCACCTTCTTTTGTACCTAATTTTTCATACAAGCCATTTAATGCATTTTCTTTAGCTTTATTTACCACCTTCCGAGCTCGCTTTTTTATGTCAAAGTCTTTTTTTTTTTCTTTCTTTTCTTTGCTTTTTTGCCACAAGAGAAGGTTGTTTGTGAAATAGCAACTTAAAATCACCAGGTTGGTTGCCTTATAGGCAATTATATATCTTGTGACCTCTTTAATAGTGATTCTTCTGTTGTTATTTCAAATCTAGTTGCATCGCAACTCAAACCAATGCTTCAGATATGTGCCCAGTGCTCGAAATGGTAGAGACCCATCTATGCTTCCTCAGGGTCTTGTAGGTCGAATGATGCCATTGCCTCTTGATGCTTCGGGGTTGCCAGCTACTCCATTGGATGTCCAGCGGTCTAGCCCACTGTCGATATCAACACTTGCTTCTGCTTTGGCTTCTGCTACTCCAGAAAATCAGCGTTTGGTACCTTATTTTCTTTTCTCCTCTCCTTCACGATGCCAATTATTTTATCAAATTATTTTATTTATTTTTCTTGCACACGAAATTAGCATTTACAATGGATTTATACACTGCTCAAGGTATATTGCTGTTGCTTAAAGTTCACGGTTCACAATTATTATGACTGTTAGACCTAATTTAGAATTGTTGATATTATCTTGTATCAAAATGACAGATGCTTGGGGAACAACTATTTCCTCTTGTGGAGCATCTCGAACATGATCATGCAGGAAAAGTTACTGGCATGTTGCTGGAGATGGACCAAACAGAGGTACTCCATCTCATTGAGTCTCCACATGCTTTGAAGAAGAAAGTTGGCGAGGCTATGGATGTCCTTCGTTTATCAGGATCGGATGTTGGTGATCAGCTCAGTTCATTGTCCCTAAATGAATAAAGGGAGCCAATTCTGGTCGGTAAATACATTTTTTGATTTGAGCATCTGCGAGCCCATTTTTTTTTTTTTTTTATAGGGCTTTATGAGCCATCATTGTTTGCGGGGGTTTCATTTTATACTAACTGTCTAATTTATTAGAATCTGTTTCACTGGGAAATTGATTGCTGAAATTCTTTTTAGGCTTCTGACAGTGTGGAGGGATATTTTTTTTTTCAGTTTATTTAGACTCTTTGCCATTTGACTTCAGTTTTGAATTTGATTGAGAATTCTTTGAACTTATATAGTTTTCTTCTGATTCTTTTATCATTATCCATTACTGTTTTGTTTTATTATTTAGCAGAAGATTTGGTTTTTGTTTTTAATTTAAATCGTCTTAAGAAGCAAAGAATGTAATTTCAATTTAACGAGGACTTTTACCTCTACCATACACACGTCTTTGCTCTTTGCCTTTCCACTGGTTTTTATAGAAAAATAAATAAATGATGCTAACATATTTTCAAGAATCAAAGAACTTTCTTACCTTTTAAAGTAGGAGGAGGATTCAAAAAAAAAATTGAAAAATTTGAGATATTCTTTTTTAGATATTGTTATATGATCTATATCAAGTGACTATAAAATAATCCGTGGTACAAAATTTTTTCCAAAGGTAGGTATCATATATATCTTTAAGTATTATATCAAATAATACAAAATTATTGTAATAGAAATATAATATCAAAGTATAGAAATCAAAAGTTGAGAGAACAATGAACGAGAGAAGAAAAAAGAATAGCTGATAGTTGCTCTTATTCATTACCGAAGGAGCACATACATATATACAGACATTCAACCGTCTGAAGTAGGGTACAATTACAATTGGTACTATAAATTTTTGCCGCCTTTGAATTTCCTCATTTACTGTCCATTGCATCACGTGCACCAATCAAACTTGATTCCTTCACGGATTAAGATTTGGTGTCACCTTATGTTTAATAATGGGACGCTCGATTATAATTGTGGGTCCCATTATTATATACAACACTCTTTTTTGGGGTCTACAATACTATATTAAGAATATGCCTCATTAAAATTTTAGTAGGAAAAATTCAATGGGAAAAAACTATAGACCAACAGCCAGTGGCTTAGCGGTATCAGTTTCTTACTTCCCAAAGGGAGGTTAGGGGTTCAAGTCTCAAAAGAGATATGTGTTTAAAAAAAAAAAAAAAATAGCAAAGGAAAAATAATACAATATTCTTGTGTGTCAGAAAAGAGTATTGCATAAGTTAGAACTACCTCATTAAAACCTTGCCAGGAAAACCCATTGGGACAAAACTTGTGTGAAGGAAAAAAAGTATAATATATGTTAATACCTTTTCAATTAAGTACTTGACAACGCAATCGAGTGAGAGTGAGAGCATGTTAGAGGTCACTTCACAAAGTCAAAATATGAAAGTGGTTTAGGAAACCTTTTTAGTCAAATTTACATATATAAAACCACTACTACTATTGATGAAGCATAGCGAGTACGGATCATCCGCAGGGATTAAACACGTAGTTGGAATTTAACTTCGACTCTAGTGGATCACAAAATTGCAAAGAGATGGTTGGTTTGATTACTCTAAGTTCAATTAACATAAAATACAATTAAATTAAGCTAAAGTGAGTTAAGAATTTAAGAGATGAGATGAGAGGCTTAGGGCGTTGGAATCACCACCAAGTTTGTTTACCAAACCACATACTTTAAATTAATTGGGGAAAACATTCTTGTAATATAGATGTGACTACCAATTGCAATATTAAGAATGAACCATCAAATTCAAGCATGAATTGTCTACCTAACCAACAAGTAAATTAAGTAACAATCCATCCAGTCTAAGTATGACCCATTAAATTAGTAACAATTATAGCACACATCAATCTAGAAAATCATGGAAATTGCAATAATAAGCCATAAAATATCAAATTCAAGCATAGATTGTCTATTTAACAACAAATAAACTAATATGTAGCACAACCCTTCAAGCCTAAGCATAATCCATCAAATTAATTGACAATCCCATCAAATGAAAACCATGCATAGCCATCACTAGATTCTCAATCAACCACACACAAACATGCAATTGACATAGAAAAACTAGTGTAGAGATCAATTTCCAAATATTCACACATAAGACAACATGCAATCACATAGAGAATCAATAGGAAGAATTAAACTATAGAAATCAAGGAGAACCCAAGATTCATTTTATACACAAGGCTAAAACATTAATCACAAGATAAATTCCCCAAAAAGTTAAAGATAAGGGTTTAGATTACAAACTTGGGGCTCATTCAAGCCCTAATGAGAAGTCCAGCCAATCATGGAGGAAGTTGATATGGTCATGGAACCCTCAAGGGCAATCTCCAAATATGGCTCCATCTTCTTCCTCTTCTTTTTTGTTGAATTCTAGAGAGAGTGTGTGTGTAGATCTTGAGATGTGTTCTTGGTGCCTCTCCTCTCCTCTTTTTTTCTAACCCCAATCTCTAACTTTTCTAGAGAGAAAACTAATGAAAATATAAAAGTTACAATGTAAAATAAAAATGAATGACTCTTTTGTGCCTCCACTTCTCTTTTTTTGAAAACCCTAATCTCTATCTCTAACTTTCTATCCACCTTTTTACAAAATGAAAACTAACAAAATAATGGTTTGCCCATTTGGAAGAAGTCTGGCCCAAGTAGGATTAGAAAAGAGAAAAATTGACAATTCTCGCATAATTGTCAGGGGCTGGGGGATCGATCCCCAAGGGGTATTTTTTTGCACCTTTCTGCCAACAGTGGGGGATTGATCCCCAGTGTAGAAAATTTCCTTTAAACCTTATTTAGCTCCATTTTGTCATCGGGCTAATCGGTTTGCTTCTTGATGTTTAGGAACATCATCAAAGGCCCGAAAATTGTAGAAATGACCGCTTTTGAAGGATAAGCACAATGTACGAACGATGGGCTGCGACTTCTTTTTGCCATTTTCTGAACTTTTTCCGACTGCCTTTGCTTGACTCCAAAAAAGGTTTTAATGAACCGAAATTAGCCTGTTTGAATCTTATTGACCTGAAATCGACAAAAAAAAATAAAAAATAAAATATATATATATATATATATGACTAAAACGAGAAAGTAAAGATAGATGAAGGTACTAAAATACCCTAACTTAGGTACTAAAATGTGCAACATTTGAACACTTATCACACCCCCAAACTTAGATATTGCTAGTCCCTAGTAATGAACTACGAAGTAAAGAAAGAAATGAACAACTATACAACTATGAACTAGAAAGCAATAAAAGGATAACACCACTTTCGTAGGGAACACGATTGCATTTAGTGTAGGGAACATGATTGCATTGAAAGAAAACTACCTTAAGTATACCATTTTTCAACCATCTCTAAGTAATCTCCCAAAATTTCAACAATAAACAAGCAAATGTGGTCCTTCACACATCAAGCAAGATAATCATGCAAATCAAATCAACTCTAGCATCCTTTTGAGTGAACCGGCATCAAATATGTTGCTCTCTTAGCAAATCAATGAAATGGGCACAACCAATCTCAAACTAGCACCCAAATCTAGTACCAATCATCAAGACAAAAAATGAACCTTTTTATTCAATTTATTTCCAACATACTCTCTTTTTCTTTCTTTTTCACCTTTTTTTTTTTTTTTTGGGGATCAAAGATAAGACTATGGTGCAATGTAGTAATCTCTTAAACTCTCTAGAAGATCCATGTAACAAGCGTTTGGTCAATGACTCCCAAATCGAACGGCTTTATAGTATTAGGTGTAAAGACACCCCTAAGGACTTACAAGCTCAAATCAATTAGGTTACAAATCAAAACAACTCTCATCTATTCACTTCCCTACTCCTCATCTTTGGCAAGAAGCGATCATTTTTTTTTTTTTTTTTTAACTGTTGTGTGGACCTTTCACTTTTCAGCGCGAGAATTCAATGCTTAATGAGGCAAGAATCCCAGCTACTTGGTAAAAGGGTTTGTTATTAGCATGCAAGGTCATCTTATCAAGAATGAAAGCTTTCAAAGCCTACTTGCTCAATTAGGATATAACCAAAATAATGATCAACTAAGCATGTACCCCATAAATGAATGCTAGTATGTGCCTGTGCAATTGTAGAACTCTAAAGTCAAATCTCAAAATAATCTCACAAGCAAGATGATGTGGACCATAAAAGCAAGCATGATTTCAATCTTTTGAAAAATTTCCTTCTAAATGGCATCCAAAGGCATACAAGGAGTATTGAATTCTCAATACAAGAAATTTTGCAATTTAATTGAACATAGGACTCAAAAGATCAAAGTCATAGCTAAAATGGATTTCAAATCTTAATCATGCAATTAAAGCTCAAACTTAAGCAGAATGCAACAAAGTCATCTTACCCTCAAACTTAAACCGCACATTGTCCTCAATGTGCAATGAGAACAATGGAAAAGATGGAAAGAATATATTGTGGTGGCAAAGCCTATGAAACTCGGTAATGATCCAATTTGAAAGACATCTTCCCCAAACTTGGAATCAACAACCTATTTGGATAACCACACTAGCAAACTCACATATCACAATGGGATAAAGAGAGCAAATCATACACTCTAAGGCAATATAGAGCAAAATAAAATAGTAATATGAGATCAAGTCACCAAATTTTTTTTTTTAAAAAAAAAAATAAACAAATTATGTACACAAGTAAAATAAAAGGGAAATAAAGCACCTAGGATATATAACTGATAATGAACTATGATAGAAACTGAATATTGAAAAGGTTAAATAATCAACGAAATATGGAAACGAAATATGGAAATATGCAAGTCAATAATAAATAAACAGCAGAACATGAATAACTTTGAAGAACTGTGATTGAAACATGGAACTTACAACTTTGATCTTTGAATACAACACTTTGTTCTGAGCTGAGCTCGTTGGATAAAGTAAAACTAAAAACTTGAACTCAAATATTACAATTTGAACTGAGAACTTTTTGAAATGAAACTATGAACTGAACTTGGTTCTGGCCTGCCTTCAATGTCTTGAGGAGCTACTATATATAGGGCCTCGAAGGAGCTTTGGGGAGCCTTGGATTCCTTGGGGATAAGGATGCAGCTGGAGGCTATGTGTAAAGGCTGAAAGGCTGAATTGAGTTAATGTCTGCTGAATGATGTTGGAGGCCATGTGCAAAGCCTGAAAGGCTAAATTGAGGTGATGGCTACTGACTTGCCTTGGATTCTTTTTATGAAACGTTTGTCTGTCATGAGCACCAAAAGGTAATAGAAGCCTAAAACTGGAGAACTGTTGAATAAAATTTTTTAACTGTAGATTTGCCTCTTTTTTTTTTTTTTTTTTTTTTTTTTTTTTTTTTTTTTTTTTTTTTTTCGCTATGCAGCGACATTGAATAATCGAAGTCAGAAACTTTTTTTGATAGGAAATGATGATTCTTTGAAAATTTTGTTACTGGTGC